AAAATCATTACCTAGTACAGATGAGAAACGTGGCACTTTCTCTGCAATAAGAAAACATTCATAGCAGCCATCTTACGCCCATTTTGTACCGACTACATTTCCTCAGTAAGCAACCATAGACAAGGCTTTAGTCGTGGTACCTCGCCATTGCTTTTGTAATTAACAACCAGCCTTATTTTTAAATTCACTTCAAGGCAGCACCTCCCAAAATCCCCCAGTTCCTCTCCCTTTCCTCTATTACTTTGTTTGTGATGCTACCAAAAAAAATCACATATGCTGTTCCTTACCTCATGATTCTTAGCTAACACAAACCACTTATTAGATCAACACACAGAAATCGGCTTAGAATATTTTTTCCATACAAAACTTCTAACTAACTGTTCCACTTTGGTTTACAGGAATTCTCTCTCACACTTTCCAAATGAGTGATTGTTAGATAGCAATTTGCAAAGCAAATTATGTTCAAGGATACTTTTCACACACGCGCACATAAAACTCTCAGGAAATCAAGAGCTTTCTTCCCATGGAAAAAAGCTTTATCAGTGCAAATCCTTCAGCTGCCCACTCAGCAACCATTCCTTACCATCAGCCTAACTCTGGTAATGGCAGAATGTTAAGCATCTTGTATCACAGTTTATTTACTTCTATTAACCTCTGCTTACTGAGAACAGAAACTGGACTGATTGTACTTCCATTAAAATATCGACACTAAACAGACAAAATTTAAGAGTTTCTTTACAACACAGGAAAACTACCCATCATTTTTCCCCATGATCCAAGTCTGTGGGAGCCACACAAGCTCAGATATCTTCTGCTTATTTCTGAGTAGTAGAGAGAACAAATCTCCACTAACTTAGTCCTGAGCAGGAGACAGATTATTTCCACTATATGACACATGCAACTAGAAGTTTCCTGAATCAGGGAGCTCACTGACCAACAGGACTCCTTTCTGGAGCTAAAATCTACACGAACCTGTCACAGCATTTCTAAAATAGAAAAAAGGTGTTGTCCAGATTTTCGAGTCTATGTAGCACACATACACAGACAGTTTCCCTTCTCCAGGAAAAAAAGATATACACGCAAAGAAATTAGTTCATTTCAGAATGAAGTGAAATGCTTTTAATTCACAGTGGTCTTAATCAGTTCTGTTATTAACAGAAAGCAAGCTGTTAAAGGTCTGATGCTGCCTCTCAACACGAGTATCTAGCTTCTACTCATTTAGCATGAGCTTTGTAACTGCATGAAAATCTCAGATACACAAAGCTTAATTTTTCTCAGTAATTATACAAGACAGCTATTCTAAGGTCATCATAATTAGTAACCACTCAAAATCAGGCATCAGTTATCTGTTTTATCCCCATCGTGACCCTAATTCTAGCCAGAGATCCAAAACTAGGCTAAATAGCGAGCAGCAACAGAATGGAAATGGAAGCACAATCCAACAGTGCCCAGTAGATGAGGGCAGAATGAGCCTCCCTCCATCTGGTCAGCCATGCGACGCACGGGTGCCGGGTGTGCTGAATCAGCACTTCAAGCAGAGCCTGCCTCTGAGCACAAGGACTGCTGCTAATCCTTTCTCAATTATATTGCACTCAGTGACAGAGAGCAAAAACGGACCGCGTCAGTTTAGACATCATCCTGGCCCATTTCTTTCCTGCCCCCACTAACTCAAGGTTTATTTTGTGTGAAGGAAATCAAAGCAGGGTGATGGGAGGGAGGAATTCTAACATGCTTCTGTATTTGACAGCTCTAACATTCAGATTAATTTTTTTCCCCCCAGACAACGTTGAAAGTTAACAAGCGTTTTGATAATTTGCTGGATTGGAGTGGATTCAGATTTTCCTATTCCAAAAGAAGTTATATGGTCGCTGTGTATGAAATAAGTGTGTGCATACAGACACATGAAAAACAGAGAAAAATGCGTTGTTTAATTCAGTCACTATTTTAAGACTCTCAGAACCTGGGTTGGTTTGCAATTCTTTTCAACTCAGAAGAATCCAGTTAGTCATGAAAACATGCACAGCACAACAGAAATTTACTGTCACTCAGCAACACAGAGATTGCCTCTCTGCACACGGATGGGCAGAAGAGAGCCTGCATCACAGACCTTTTATGAGGGCATTTTCAGAAAGCAAATTAAAAATAACTACGTAACAAGTCACACGTGCAATTTATCTTCAAGCAAATCCCTTCACGTAAGTAAAAAACTCAGGAGTCACCAGTTCAAAAATCACTTTGAATGTTACTGAACAGCTCAGGGGTGAAGTTCCCAATTGCCTTAACAGCAAACTAGAATTTGACTGAGCTTGTGATTCTTTTAGCTGATGGGGACTGAACGTAACGAGGCATTTAAAAATACAAACCCGCAGAGAGATCTTTGTGCACTTCGTGCTGAATGCCGCCGAGAGGTTCGAAAAAACTTGCCAGCTCTTTGCAAGCATTAGGAGATGGGGAGGAGAAATACTCATCTATTAAAAGAATATAGCTCTAGTTCATGTTGTAAACAACCTTAAGTAAGTATAGCTACGGGACACGGTGCAATCACTCACTTTGTGTCACCTTTATACCATCTTCATTATCACCAGCACTGTTTTATCTAAATATAAGTTAAGGTTACATCTGTTCTAGAACTTAAAGGACAAGATTAAACAAATTTATGGCTGAACTGTAGTAATACACTGCAACTACAGGAGTGACAAAGGCATAGGAGGGGACAGCCGGCCATTCCTTTGCTGCTCCCAAAGCATTAGTGACCCTCCCTGCACCCCCCACGCAGCTGGGATATGTATCATTCTGCTTATTCTTACCAAAGCAGCCAAGCTATTACACCAGCCTTAGGCAAATAGGTCCTAAGCCACAGCAATACTTGAGGCAGCACACTGCTTCCTACATATTATTTCCTACCCAAGTTTACTTTAATTTACCACAAGCTCCATAATTCACCTTCAAATGGTTGTGCTACAGACTGTGAACAAGAATTACCTGAATAAGAACCAAGCGATACAGTCCAGCGTACAGTAAGTGCCAGTAAAACAGTAATTGTCATTAAGCTCCACTTCTCCATAACTTCTCTTTGTAACAAGCCAAAGGTACCTGAAAAAACAAACAAACAAAAAAACACATAGCTACAGCACCATCTGGTTTTGTTTCTTAGCCATTTAATGGCACTACTGACAAGTTCTTCTAATTCTGAGCTAGGAGATCTGACAACCACATAAAAACAGCAATAGGAGAGTAGAAGACTTCAAATTGCTTTGAAGAACTCAGCTATCAGATCAAATCTATTCTGTACATACATGTATGTAATTAAGCTTCACCTTAATAAGTTCTGCACAATCTGTTATACACACAAAGCACGTTTCACCTGGGACAACAGAAAGTTAAGTATCTTCAATAGCCCATGAACTGGTATTTGTGCCTGAAAGAGGAAAGCGCCTTCAAAGAAACATGTATACAATCCTAGATCAATAAAGTAGGGGGAAAAAAGGACTAAATGCTGTTAACAAGCACACAGTTTAAAGCAGTGAATATATGGTATTAAGTTAATGTCAATTTCAGGAGTAAAAACAGCATAGCTGAGTTACGGAAAATGGAGGTCTAGTAGAAATTTCTCTGCTGGCTGAAAGTTATTCCAAAATCATACAAACAGAAATGCTGACTCTTCTACGTGCATCAACCTTGGAAAATGGCAATGTTGCCCTATTAAAAAAAAAAAAAAGCATCAATGGAAAATGCAAAATTTGCCTTAGAAGAGTCAAAACTAAAGTTCGGCCTCTCAGAAAGAGAAAAGAACTAAAATAAAAGAAACTGTTCTAAAGTTGACAGTGAAAATAAAGTACATCTATTGGATGTCCTTCAGCTGTACCAGCAGCACCATCCCCTCATGTCAGTGAGGCACTGTGGAGCAGAGGACAGCTGGGCACAGCTGCCAGGGCCTCTCCTTGCTAAAGAGGTGACAGCCAGCTCAAATGAGTGCAATATAGTTGACAATGCCAGAAAAAAGGCACTACCAGGCTGTCTCACTAACAGGAAAGCAACATCACAAGACATGTCCTGCTCAAACTAAATTCATACTTATCACTTGTGGAAAGCTGGGACCCCCCAGCACAGAGGGGAAATAAAATTCTTCGAACAATACAGGTCTGTGACAGCAGCAGGTCCCCATCTATAGGCTGAAAAGTGAACGCTGATCGTTGCGTGCATCCTTTGCTACACCTTGCTGGAACAGCACAGCCATGCTGATCTGAACACAAAATGCTGCAACCCCATGCGCGTTTCATCATCAGCCAACTCTGACGGTCCTTATAATATCCTTCCCTGCCTCCTTTTCCCCTTCAGTAATTATCCCATACCTCAAGAAGCCAACGCTGTGCTTTAATCAAGTGGCAAAGCACGAGTCTTTAACCGCTGCTACCCCACAGAGCCCAGCGCTCAGGGAGGTTCCAGGAGGCGGCCTCAGCTCCAGCTTTGCCCTCTGCCTTTGGAGCAGCACCTGAGGGCGCCTGGAGACAAAACAGCGCCTTTAGGCACAAAAAATCCCCGTCATCGGGGCAAGGAGCCGGCGGCCCTTCAGGCGGTAATCGGGGAGATGCCGCCGCAAGGCTCAGCAGCGCCCTTCGCCCTTCAGGAACGCGCACCAAGCTGAGAATTCCTCTCCTTTCAGCGACACCGCTTACCCAAAGGCCCACCGGGTTCCCTCCTCCCTGTCAGGCGTTCAGCTCTGACACATTCATTCCTCGCACCCGCCCCGCATCGCTACGCTCCTCCTCAGCCGACACGCGGGCACGGATCGCAGCGCTGACCCTGCCCTGCCCGTCCCGCCGCCCGTCCCGTCCCGCCGAGCCCTGAGGAGAGCGGCGCGCGCCTCCCCGCTTCCCGCCTTACTGGACACAACGGCCGCGCGCGCGCTTCCGCGTTCGAAAACGCTTCCGGCCTCCGCCAGGCCCTAAGGCGGCGCGGAGTGGCGCAGTGCGCATGCGCTTGAGCTGGCGCCTGCGCAGCTCGGGTCGCGGTGTTGGCGCTGAGGTGGCGGCGGGCCGCTGTGGGGCTGTGAACGGCTGCGGGGGGGGGGGGGTGGTCGGAAGCGGTTTTTTTTTTTTTTTTTTTTTTTTTGACAAGTTATTATGATTCTTTTCTTCTTACAGAAGGGAAGTGGCAGCAGGAGGGTTTGTTCTTCGCAGAGCCGGAGCTCTGGAAGCAGCTGTCAGTGGCTGTGTGTGGAAACAGGACCTGAGGAGCGGCCTGGTCAGCAGCTGCTGCTGTACCACCTTCTGCTGTGGGCTCCGTGATCCTCATGGAGGCCTTGGCAGAGTGCATGCTCAGCCAGATCAATCCCACATCAGCTTCCTACGTCCCTTACCAGTATTAGGAAGTCTCTGTTGTTCAGAGCTTCCTCTTATGGCACTTCTCTCAGGGTAGGGTGTGCAATTTAGTAGAAAATGGGTTATTTCTGTAAATAAGAACACATGCTGTGGTTCTCATGGCCAAACCTTCCTGATCAGTTGCCAGCAGGGCTGTCCTTGGGCTGGGATCCAAGGGCTAAAAGGTTGGAAGGGGCTGGAATAGGATGGAGTAGGAATGGAATGGAATGGAACGGAATGGAATGGAATGGAATAGAATGGAATAGAGTGGAATAAAATAGAAGGTAGGATAGGATAGAGTGGAATAGAGTAGTATAGAATCATAGAATGGCCTGGGTTGAAAAGGACCACAATGCTCATCTGGTTCCAACCCCTTCTATGTGCAGGGTCGCCAACCAGCAGACCAGGCTGCCCAGAGCGACATCCAGCCTGGCCTTGAATGCCTCCAGGGATGGGGAAATAGAACAGTCTGAAGAAATCTACAGCGATTCTGACCACCCGACCTCTTAAGTGCTGGCCAACATGTAAAGCACGAGCCCAACCCATTTAAACCATTTCATTACAGGTTTCAACCCAACCACTGAAAGGTGGAAGTGGATGATCAAAAAGGATCTGATCTCATGTCATAGAATGAACATTAAAGTAACAAGATTCCACGAAGATACATTTCTGCTTTTCTTTTTTTTTTTAAGCATGCATGAGTTCTTTCCAAAATGCACAAACAGTACATACTTGTGTTTAAACATATTTAGTATTGAGTACCACCAGAGATGGCTTTTTCCTCTTGAAGGTTTTCCAATGCTGTAACACACATTTCCATAATCCCGACTGTTTGCAAACAGAGCACAAATGACGTGGAGATGGCAGAGCTGCTTCCACCTGCAGCAATGGCAGCATCCCCAGCAACTGAATGCCACCCCAAACAGGCAGGTACGGGGGGACAGGGAGCTCGTGGCCTCACACAGGTGCACACAGCAGTCTGCCCTGACGTGTGTCTGGAGCCATAAACCTCATGAAAACGATAGATCACATTTATTACATTTATTTTAATCTACCTGCGAGTAGCTGCTGAATTAAACCTAGCGCGAGAAATGAATCAGATCCTAAGGGGCGTCTGGGGGCTGATAGATCCGCAAAATAAACATAATCCCAACATCGAATCGATTACGAAGAAGGTGAGAAGAAGGCAGGGATGGGAGCAGACGCTTCCAGGTACGAGCTGCTGTCGCTCGGCCCTGCAGCTCCCTCCTGACGGCCGTTCGGATTCGGGCGCCGGGCTGCGTCTCCTCGCCCCCCCCGGGGCTCCCCGGCCCCGCACCGAGCAGCCCCTCCCCCGCCGGCTCCCAGCCCGGCCGCACATCCGAGTGCATTATTTCAATTAGCCGAGCGCTCTTTGTTGCAAGGTGAAATCGTTCGCTCTCCGGGAAAGGTTTTTTTATTGAATGCCTTCTAAATACTTGCATTGGTCACGTTGTCTGGAATTGAGTCTCTGTCACTAGTATTTCTGCGGTGACTTTGACCAGATCAATGACTGGAAAAGGCATTAAGGACACGTTGATACGAGCGGAGCTCGGGTTCGGTTCTCAGTAGTAAAGAGAAACCGATAATGAGCAGACAAACGGCTTTCCTTAACCCTTCGCGCTCTAGGGAGGCTCCGGCGAGTTTGCCGGGCTCTTCACGCCATCCCTTCGGGTGATGGAAAACCGAACGCGGGTAAGGCAAATTCCTTCCGGCTGCCCCAGAAATCCGGGGCGAAAGGCGGTCGGAATAACGAGAAAGTCGCTCCCAGGGCCGGTGGCAGCGGGAACGGGCGGTCCGCGGCTGCGAGAAGTTGTTCCCAGCTCCGCCCGGCGGGCACCGCCTGAGCCCCGATCCTCTCCCATCCTGCTTCCCTAGCAAGAGCAGAAGGACACATGCTTGCAAACACCAAACCAACCTGCGGGAAGACGGATTTTGTTATTATTTTCCCCCGAAACGCCAGCACCTCATGAAAGTCGGCAGAGGCAGGCTGAGATTTGCTCTGTTCCCCGATGCCCACGCGATTCCCGGACCCGAGAGGGGACGGCGATGGCATTTGGCTTTTGGCTTTTTGTCTTTGGGCCGTTGGCGCTTTGCCCCGGGGACGTGGGGGTCTCACCCAGCCTCCAGCTCGAGAGCGCTCTCGTTTTGCGATCTTGGTAAAGTCGTACATCCCCGGCTCGCTTACCGAGCCCTGCCTTACTGCTTACCGAACTCGGCGTTACCGAATCCCTCATTACCGAAGTTGCCTTAGTTATTAAAATAGAGGAAATGCCACATTTTCAATGGGAATGGAAGGTTCTACCTTCCTCACCTATTTTTCATTCCTGATTTAGGAAAAAAAAAAAAAAAAGAAGAAGAAGAAAAAAGCGAGATTAGTATGGAGATTGCGTTTCCAAGGACCTCGCCACTATTAAATAGACTGTTAAGTGCGTTTTATGGCTGCGGCGTCTGCTCCCAGCTCAGTCCGGGAGACGCGCTGAGTTCATCCCTACCTGCTACATTGAACACTCACTGCCGCTCACGCTTTCCGCGGGCGTCACACCTCTGCTTTGTATCTTTTAAGTCCAAAACGCTTCGTGGTTAGGACCGGGAACGCTTCGCTCTGACCCCGGGATGCGCCATGTCCCCCGGCGATCCGCGCTCCGCTACAGCCCGCACCCAACGCGCATCTTCCGCACCCCCACCGCGGGATCCCATTGCCGCGGACCCAAAGGAGGGAGGAAAACACTCCTCGCCCTTAGGGCGCGTTTTCCCCGAGTGGGAGATCCCCGCTCTGGAATATCGCTCTGCAATAAAGAAACATTTGGAAATAACCACAAAAGGGGGGTTTTCCCGATTTTTTTTTTTATTATTATTATTTTTTTTAATGCTCGGCACCCGTAAACCTTAAGCCCCGAAGGAATGGCCCCGACGGATCCGTCCTTTCCCGTTCCCGGGCGATGCGGGCTTCGGGGGTGCGGGACTAAACCTCATTGCACCTTTCTCTGAGCGGGGCCTCGCAGTTGTCATAAATAATCGCAGGGGTCGGGGCTGGGGGGGCTCTGAGTAAACTCTCCGTGCTGCGGAGTGCGGTCATTTTCCCAGTGCTTAGGATCTAGTTACTTTCAATGCACCCCAGAGACCAACATGACACGTCTTATACTAATAGGCATCTGTCAGCGGCCGCGTCAAGTTTGGCCATATGCGTCGGACGGTTTGGGGAATGGAAAAGGGAGAGGACGGGGGAAAAAAATAAAGGAAAAAAAGAAAAAGGGGAAAAGAGACATAAAAAATAAAAGAGGAGGAGGTGGGGAAGAGGGAGAAATAACGAATAGTAATGGGAGGGAGAAGAGAAAAGGGGAAAAAAGAGAAAGGGAAAAAAGAGGAGAAAGGGAGGGGAAAGGAAAGAAAAAAAAAAGGCAAAGGGTTATAAAGAGGGGAAAGGAAAAGAAGAAAAGAAGAGAAAGGGAGGAAAAGAGAAATGGGAAAAGAAGAGAAAGG